AACGTTAAAGAAAATTTAGGAACACTGTGAGGATCCACCAGCATTTCGCGAATCGCGTCGCAAAGCACGTGAGTTACAATTACAAAAAGAAGAGGAAGCATTGAGGAAAATAGAGCTTGAGGTTTGTGGATAGATGTGGAAAATCTACAAAAACAAATGGATTATTTGATTTTTATTGTTAATTATTATTTTGATAGTTGTACTGTGAATAACAATTATTAGAAAATTGGCTAACTTGATTTGCTGTACATTGTTCAGAAGATCTTTCTATGCTTAAATTTAGGTATGGTACTAAAAAAAAAGAAACTGCACTTAGAATCAATCAGTTAGATATGTACATATTTCCAATTATTATTTTTTTTTTCAATTATAATGCAATTATTTTATTTTCAAAATGCAAAATAAAGTTTTGCAGATATCACCAATGGAGGCAGAAGTTGAAAGAGCTCTTGAGAAACGGCGAAAAGAACGTTTCAAAAGGACACAATACGCTCGGATGATGAGTGGTTCATTAGGATCTGAATCGGATGAACTTACTCCGGCGGATGCTTTAGTACGGAATGAAATCGTTGACTTAGTCTTTTCTGCTGCAAGAAGTGGTACTCCGTTGTAAGTGAAATTAATATTTTCTTACATTTTCTAGTTTTTTCTTTTTTTTTTTCCCACTGAATTGATGTATTCCTCATCCACCGGTACATGTTGTTACAGATCTGATGCTGGTATGTCATCCACTTATGCACCTTCATTAGTTAGCCTTGGCATAGCTCCAATCAAAAGTGAAGTAGAACCGATTGCTGAAACAAAGAGTGAGAAACTCAATAGTAATGGAGAACTTGATTTGGAGGGTAAAATTTCGTTTTTTTTTGGTGATCCGTACAGTAAACTTTTATAACTGTGATAAATATTAGCAGTACAACAGTACAGTTAGCATCATTTAGGTAAGAAATGATTTTAATGTTATAAACTTGGAATTTCTACGCAGTGTTCCATGTGATATTGTATAGATTCTGCAGTTGCACATAAAATTTCTTTTTGCTGAATGATCGAGTAGTTCTGAAAAACAAGAATATGGATAGTGTCAATTTTTATTCATATTTCAAATTTTCTAGATTTATGTGGAGTTATAATATTGTTGCAGGAATTGATGATGATGAAATCAATACATACATATTAACCAAAGAAGAGGTAGATTTGAAAACCCGTTTCTGGATGAAATTAAATGGAGAACATTTGAAAGAAATGGAGCGGCGGTAAAACTTAATGTATTTGTAGTTATTCTGCTTGGCTCACAGCTAGTGAGCTGACGCAATCCTTATAGAAAAACAGGATAAAGGGAAATTGTTTAAAAAAAAAAAGAAAAACATGGATTATTCTAAACTGTAATCCTATGCTCGAAACTTTTTTAGCCTATCTTTTTGCTCTCTTTTTTTTGTAACATAATAATCTTGCCTAAAACATGTAAGCACTTTCTAGGCGTCGTGAAAGGGAGGAAGAAGAACGTGAAAAAGATAATTCATCCAAAAAACGGCGTCGAACAAATGGTATCCGTAAAAAAGAACCTATCGTTGCTGCAACTGCGCAAGAAGCAATGGAAAAAGTCATACATGTAATATTCCTGTATATAACTCTTTTTGTTGTGTTATATATCTCAAGAAAGCGGAAATTTTAAAGACTACAGCAGAAAGGTGCTAATATCAGGAAAGAGGAATATCAGGAACACGATCATTTGAAATAGTTCATTTTAAAATGATCTGATTATTTTCAATGAATTTCCCGCCTCTAATAATTTTTGGGAATTTTGCAGGAAAAGAAACTTTCAAACAAAATAAACTACGATATTCTAAAAGAAATCGAGGATGCAGATGAAACTATCAAACCTGAAATAGACTGCAGCATAAGTGATACAAAAGAAGAAACCAGTGAAGCTAACGATCGCATGGTTATTTATTTTTTATTTTATTTCAGGTCTTCTTTTCATAATGTATCTTCTGATCTTAGAGAAGAACAGATCAAGTTATGCAATTGATTTTGCCATAAGTTAATGAATTGGTCTAAAGTATCGATTAGATGATAGTCGCATTTCTGACCATCATCACCACAGCTGATGGAGTTCTTAGAGAAAAAATCTCTACACTTTGCTGTCCTGCTTCTGTAATTTTTTAATCAGTCCAATAACTATCATAGGCAGAAAATCAATTAATAGGTTGGAAGTGGTCTTACAATTTGAATTTAAATCAGTGACAAAAATACGGCAGTGTTTTCATCCTAGGATTTATTTCATATTAATCTTAGAGTTTTATAATGAGATAAATTTTGAACTCTGTTTCAGTTATTTAAAGACAGTAGAAATTTAACGTTAACGACAGGAAAAGTTTTAAAAACTCGGAAACGTTTCCGGCCGAATGTTAGTCTAGCAACGAAAAAGGCAGTTGAACAAACAATTTCAGTAATAGCTGCATCAGAAAAAAATTCCAATCAAGGTAAAAAAGGTAAAATATGTTTTTAGTTCTTATCTTTTTTCCAGTCAAAAATTTTTTTTTGGAAGGAACTTCCAAAGAATAAAGGCATTTTTTTGTTATTTATTTGAACTATTTGAGTAAACTGGGAACTAGTTTTGGCAAGAAGGAAAGTATGTGTTTTCAAATGTTGGAGTATATTCGAGAATTGATGGAGTGATTCTCTTAGGATGATTGTGAGTTACAACTGGGTACAAACTGACATCATTTTCTAGGATCTGTAAAAGACTTATCTACGACGAATGAAAAAAATACCTTGTTTGTTGGCGGAATGAAGACGAACATAAGGTAAAACTTACTTATTTCAAGCAAAACACTTGAAAACTGATCCACTCTTCTTTTTGACTAGTGATGTTTATGCTGTTTGATGTTGGAATTTTTTATTTACAGAAAATGTGCTGACGCTCAGGGTCAACCATCAAGCAGTATCGAAAGTAATACTATGATAACAGAATCTAACATATTCCCTACTAAAATGAGCCATTATAGTCTATCTGTTTCACACTCGGAAACAGATAGGCTAGATTCTTTCCAAGCTGGGACCTCCGATTCAACTGCAAAGTTTTCGAGTAAAGTCGGTCACTTTACAAGAAAAATAAGACCAGCTAAATTGATTGTTGAAGAAAGTTCTGAATCAGTTGGTTTTAACTCTAAAAATGCAGCTATAACAGAGACATCTGGAAAATCGCACATGATTAAAAGAAGATATGCGAAAATGAAGCCAAATTTGAAGTGTGTCCAAAAATGTGGTAAGTCTGTCAACCAAGATGGTCAGAAGTCGCTTTTAGCGGTTGTACCCGAGGTTCCAGGGGAAGGTAATGTCGAAGGTGAAGATAGACAACAAAGGAAAGAAGATACAGAAGTTCCTTCAACATCTGAGATTTCAAGAATGGAAATCGTAAGCGCTGAAGACGTTAGCAAAGAACCACTAATGCAAAGTATTAGTAAGATCTGTTCCGCAAAAACGAATTCGAATGTGACCGAAACTGATACGGTTAAAAAAACGAGAAGTCGATATATGAAAGTAAAACCTAATTTGACAAAACGAGCTGAAACAAAAGCAAGCAAGGTTAGAATTTGATTTACGGACCGAAGCTAATTAGAAATAGCGCTATAGAAATAATACATGTTGTTGATTCAAGTGATAGAGTCATCGTTTCTTTCCAGTTGTATTATATTACATAGTTGCCTATGCTTCTTTCTTCGTTTAAAAATTTTTCTTGTTGCAGAAATCCTGACGAGTCGTTGGTTTGTTGTTTTTGAAGAATTGAATAACGGAGGAATATTCATCTGCGACATTATATGTCTTAGGCATGTCTGCTCAATGTAAATATATGTCTTCTTGTTGTAAAGTTTTCATATTGCATTACTAATATGAACTTAAGTTTATGTGAACCCTACATGAACGAAACCATATGCATAATAAGTATGATGTTTATAGTCGCTTTTTCTTCACAGTAAACTATGAGGCAGCTAGAAAATGAAGGCTCTAAATAGGATATGGGATTTCTGATTGAACTCGATGTAAAAATTATGAATGAGACAGTTGCAGAATATTCAGAACTTTATCTGTTTATTTATTCTATGAGAAAATAACCCGAAGATTGGGATGATTCGAGTTAAAAGGCAGCACAAAAAAGGAGCTATGTATTACTGTTGTGACTGCTGCGAGTAATTTTTTTTTTCTATGTCTAGTTCGGTCAAATTCTAATCTGGCATTGTATTGATTTTGTTATTTCTTTATGTTGACCAGATTTCCCTTAATATTTAATATTTTTTTTATAAATATTAAATATTAAGTTAACATTTTCTTTAATATATCTCGTCATTTTTCTTTTCATGATTTGTCAAGTCACAGTCGTAAGTGATATTTAGAATCTCGTTACAAAGAAGGAAATTATTTAAAAAGGATTTTTTTTTCAAGTTTTCTGAATGCCTTGGAGTGATTGATCATTATCAGATAATGTGAATGTTGCTTTTAAATTTGTCTCATATTTTTATATTCTAGTCATATTGTTTAAGAGGTCCCTTTTTAATAAGTTGAAAATGTTTTTTTTTTTTTTTGATAAATGATATTTATGATTTTCTTCTGACATTTGAAACAAGTAATAGAGAATTGAGAAATCAAAGATTTTACTTCTTTCTGTAATTGAAATATATTGACACATATCTATGTTGATATGGGAATGAAAGACTAATAATTAACCAGAGATAGCGTGTCGTATTGGTCAGGAAGCAAGAATTGACGTAAGAAGCGTCACAACGAACCAAACATTTGGGAATCTAATTCCACATCATATGATTCGAAGAAACACAAGATGCGTCGATTAATTTCCTGTCAGATGGGTTTGTCATAAAGAAAATCTATGTTAAATTACCCATAACAAACTTTGTTATGTATTCCAGTTATTAAGATGCTTTCCCCTAGAGCCATTAAATCGAAATTTCTTTTGCTTTTGAGAACCTAAAGTTGCATTAAAAAAGTCAAGAATTTCTTGCGTTTTTGTTAGTAATGTTATCACGTCGGAACTGTCCCGAAGATGGTGCTGGCCGTTTTATTGGTCGATGGATACCAGTTGCTGAATGAGATCGTTGTACATTAACTGAAGTAAAACGAAAATAGTATGAAAAATTGATGAATTAGAGATGCTAATTTCATACAGTGAGAATTTCTATAGCTTCCTTTGATCTTTAATCCCATCAAATGATGCATAAATATATAGAAAAGTATGTGCATCCGTAGAAATTTTGACCAGTTGTTCATTGTATGCTAGAAAAACTAAGAGAATGTAGACGAGGAAAATAAATTCTGGAAGTTCTGGATGTCTTGATTGGAAAATTGAACAGATTACCTCCTTGACCATTGCCTGTTGTTTCATCGTCTGGTGAACCTTTACGATTCGATGGAAATTTCGCGGCATATTCGGCATTATATTCACTCATATTTGGGACCTCCGAATAAACCATAAAAAACTCACCCGTTTTTAATAATTCACCCATTTTACCGTATGATAAACTCAATGATCCCTTGAAAATTGTCGTAAAACCATTCCTAAGAAATTTCAGTAGTATACTTCAATTATTTTATTTTTAAATTTTTTTTAAAGTTTAAAATTTTTTTTCTCAAATCGAATATGTAATTTAAAATTTTTTTTCTCAAATCGAATATGTAATCAAACTTAGCGAACCAGGTCAAATATTTTAAAGTAATGAACTCCTATTTTTTTCTTTTAACTTGTTAAATATTACAGGCAAAATATATTCATAACATATTCATTGAAAAAGATAATGAAAGATCTAGCCTTAATCGCCAAATATCACCAGCGGAAATATTATCACCAACATCATTCCATACACCCATGAGAACGGAGCCAGTCGGATCAGCAACGCGTATTGTTCGAACATCATGTCCTTGAGGTGTACGTCGTGATTGACCTGAAAATGTAAGGTAAATTGAAATTTATAACAAAGCACTTTCTCATATTTAAAATGTTTAAATTTCTCTTTAAATTCATTATTCTTCGATCATTATCATATATAAGTTATGCTCATTCTATCAGTTGTTGATATAATTTCAAATATAGCAAATGAAATAAATGGAATGAAAAACATTACGCAATGAAATAAAATAAATTTTGAGCAGAAAGGAAATATTTCATAAATGATTTGAAATTAAATGAAATGAGATAAAATACAACGAATTATGCTTCAATTCAATTTGACAAATTAAATGATACAAATTATAATTCCAGATTTAAAATGTACAATTAAATAACTTACCAATATCAAGAACAATAAATGTTAGATTGATATTTTTCATATTTGGCAATAGCTGTGAGATCGAATTTGGTCGAATGATATCACCTGACATAACTAAAATTTGAAAAATTGATTAAAACAATTGAAAAAAATTCCATATAAAACACAAAACTATGCAAAAATTGTGAAAACATATGTTATTTATCACGCTAACTTAGTAATTTAAGTGAAAAATATGCTATGAAAATATTTAAAAATGGAATGTTAGAAAAGATCTATAAACATACTTTCTGTTTAGTAGCAGGTAATTAATGATTTAAAAAAATAAACAGAGGAAAAGAAAAGGATAAATTGGGGGAAAGTTACAATTTGCAATAATTGGAAGGGAAATTGGATGGAAATGAAAGATGTCGAAGGAAGAGAGGGAGAGAGAGAGAGATAGAAAGAGAAATTGATTGCAATGAAGTGGTATTTAAGAGAGAATAGGGAGAAATGATTGGAGAGAAAAGAAGAATTAATTACATGGAACGATGGGTAGCAGAGATGTTGCAAATATCCAAGGATAAAAATATTTAATGATAGAAAGACAGACATGCATGCAAGGGACAAAGAATTCAGTTCAGATTTGGAATGTCAAACATTTCAGATTTTAGTAGTAATGCATATTTGTAGTGTAAGGAAGATGTAAGTACGTCAAGTTACGTCAAGTTACGTGAAACAAAGTAACAATTTTTATATTACAATTACACGTTTAGATATATGTCACTTGTTATTGATATTATGGAAGTAATTAAGTAAGTAACAATTAATATAGCTCGAAGCAAAATTAAATTATATTTAGCTAAAATATACAAAAATTAACTGTGAACATATTTATTAGTTTAATATAAAATATTTCATAGAAATTTAATGTAATTATCATATCTTATCATATGTAACTAATAATAGCGTATGAATCATTTAGGACTTTTTTTAAAATAAGAAAATTAAGAAGTAAGAAAATAAGTTAAGAAAAAATAAATTAAGAAAATAAAAATTGGAAAAAAATTAACTAGGTAAAAAAAAAAAAAACATACAAGTTAGAATTTTGCATAAAATTATTAATTAGTTGAATTTGTTAATATTTTAATTTCCAATTTAATAGCCAAATTTTTATTATAACTTATAAAAATATTATTTAGAAAAAAAAAGTTTTCTTTCTTGTAAAACTTTTAAATATACATTCAGTACTTATTATCAGTTATATATTTTTTCAATAAAGGTTCGTTTCGTTGGAGATTTCAGTTTATTCAGTTATCAAAACATTATGATTTGACTTTGCATATGAATATTTGTGAAGGATTATAGTTACACTTATTGCAGACGTAATTGATAACTGAAAAGACTAATGTAGAATCTTGTCATTCTCGACAAAAGAGACGCCAACAAGATGAATCCTGTCGCCAAATCCTGTCGCCAAAAGATGCAGCAAGAAGAATCTTCTCATCAAAAATGTTACTGAATAGTGACATTCACGAGACTCGATTCCTAATACTGTTGTCACTTGTCTTGTCTATCAACATATGTCGTTTAGGTATTCTTGAAGATTATAGTAGTAGCTCTTTATGTTTTTTCAACTTTTTGTGACATATCATTAAATATTTTTGTGGCTAAAAGATTATTTCAAAAAATTTTTATAAAATTCTTGTATAGAAAAATTGAAAAAATTATATGATATGATGCGGTAATTTTGTAAATTTGTAGATTAAAGATTGCTTTTTTAAAATATTCCATTGACAATTATATATGATCATTTATCCAGCATTTATCTTCCATTACAAGTTAAGCTTATACGAATTATAAAGAAATGTATAAACCTAGAATGTTACAATCTGCTAGTAAAAAATGCTTAATATATTATAAATTGTACTTAATTTTAATTCTGAAAATTTTCAATCTCATAGCCAAATTTATATTCAATTATTAAAATATTATCAACTGTTTGTTTAATGATTTTTTTTTTTGTTATAATCTAAATCTAATCTACACATTATTAATTTGTAGTCAGTTAACAATTTTCCTATGATCAATGTCAACTAATTTTCCCTCGGATTAACTACTTGTAATATTATAACATATTTAATAATCCTTATAGCGTCAATCAACAAACGTTTGTTCTAATTATTTGTTTACATTAATCGATCAACAATACAAACTTGATCGTCAATCAAACATGCGGTAGGTGGTGATGAGTTGATCATACTAGCAAAATTTAAGTGTAATCTCTCATCCTGAAGATGTGACCTGTCTAAGTAGCTATGTCCTAGATATATTGACCTTAATACTAGCAATTTGTGTTTCTTCGAGAGTGATAATATTGCTCATTTAATCAATGCTCCAATGTGAATTTATTAAGCTTTCTTTTTTGCATAAATTATCAAAAATCCATGACAGTGTGTAAGCATCAAGTACAATGCAGATAAAATAATTAACAAAGTTCAAAATATGTTCATTTTTAGATGAATTATATTTTTATAACATTGTTGGCACTTAATTAAAATATAATTTAACAGAATTAAAGATTTTTTCAGTATTAAATTTACAAAACCCCTAGTAATTATCAGAATTTCATAATGTTGAATTAAAGACCAAAGTTCAAACAGTTTTTAATCAGTCCATTATTTGTCATATTTTTACTTTCTTCTCGTGTCTAACTGGTAGTTTGTGAATGCTCTTTTAAATCCCGAGGGAAGCTTTACAATAACGTATACGTAAATCTGTTTGCTTTGGGTACTCCATAACTTCAGACTGATTCAAAATTGGCAGCAAGTATAGTGGAAGAAGCTGCAAGAAAAGCAAGGGATTAGTTAAAAAAAATAAAAAAGAGTATTTGATATTTCTACTCTACCTGGAAAGCTTGTTGATTGTTAGGAAAAATTCCTGAGTTATCGGAATTATTCATAGTGGAGGGTAATTCTGCAGGTGGTACTACGAAGCAGGGCGTAATCGTAGAACGTTGAAGTAGTACTTGCCTAAGGAGGGAAAATTCTAGACGTGGAACGTGTGTAGACGTGGAATGTAGTTTTTCATCTACAGAAATAGGTTCTTTAATCACTGCAAATAGGAAGTGAATACTTTGACATTGAAACAACTAGATATTACAAAATCATCATTATGACAGATGCAGATGTTGATAGTTCACATATAAGAAGTTTGACCTAGCTTTCTTTTTCCGGTCGGTATATGAAATAAAATTTAATTTTAATTCCTAAATTGAATTAAAATCATGATTAATTGAAAGTTTTATTAATTTTGCTGATGAATTTTTGCGCAAAACTTAATTACAAAAGCGTATTTTAATATTTAAACTATAAAATGACCACACCATATATGACCAGCTCTAGTGCAATGCGTGTGAAATAATCAACTAAGTCTTAAATATCTATTCTTCTTTAAATTAATTGCTATTTTTAGCAGATTTAGCACTTAATTTAAATTAAAATTGATAATCTAGAACCAATTTCCTTGTTTAATGTACGAAAACTATTACAAATTTTAAGATTTTTACAAAATCCAAAATTTAAATTTGAAATAAAAATTAATTTTAATTGTAAAAATGAATTAAAACTATGACAAATTTAAAGTTTTATTAATTTCGCTACTAAAATATAGTTCAAAATTTAATTATTAAAGTTTTTTTTTATTATCTAAACTATCAAATGACCATACAATGTATGATCAGCACAGGTGTAATGCATATAAAATAATTAACTAAATTCTAAATATCTATTTTTTTAATGATTTGCTATTGTTAGTAGTTTTAATACCTGATTAAAATGATTAAAAATGAATTTGATAATACTAAAATTTATCTCCTTGTTTAATTTTTTTAAATATACAAAAACACCTACAAATTGTAAGATTTTCATGAAAATTAATTTATAAATTTGAATTAAAAAAAAATTTCAATTATAGAAATGAATCATTTAAAAAAGTAGTTATTTAGAATTTAATTGATTATTTTATATGCATTACATCGGAGCTGGTCATAAACCGCATGGTCATTTGATAATTTAAATAATAGAAATACTTCAATAATTAGGTTTTGAACAATAAATCAATAGCGAAATTAATGAAACTTCAAATAAGCATAGTTTTAATTCTTTTTTATAATGGAAATTTATTTTTATTTTAAATTTAAATTTTGATTTTCACAAAAATCCCACAATTTGCAAGTGTTTTTGTATATTGAACAAGGAAAAAATTTTTAGCCTTATCAAATCTATTTTTAATTAAATGTTAAAACTACTTACAATAGCAATTCATTTAAAAAAAAAAATAGATATTCAAGACTTAATTGATTATTTTATATGCATTACATCGGAGCTGGTCATATATGTTATAGTCATTTGATAGTTTCAATAATAAAACAAATTTAATAATTAAGTTTTAAACAGTATTTCAGCAGCGAAATAAACATAACCTTAAATTATTCACAGTTTTAATTAATTTTTGCAATTGAAAATAATTTTTATGTCAGATTTAAAATTTGATTTTTATAAAAACCCAGTAATTTTTAAGAGTTTTTGTATATTAAACTGGGAAATAAATACTTATATTATCAAATTCCATTTTAAATAGGTATTAAAACATTAAAAAGTAACAATTCATTTGATAATTAGAACTTAGTTGATAGTTTTATGCGGGAATTGATCATATGTATTGTGATCATTTGACATCTTAAATAATAAAATTCAGTTTTGAACAGTAATTCAGTAGCGAAATTAATAAAATTTTTAATTTTTCATAGTTTTAAATCATTTTTAAAATAAAAATTAATTTTTATTTCAAATTTAAATATTGATTTTTATGAAATTCCTACAATTTTTAAGAGTTTTTGTATGTTAACCAGGAAATAAATTTTAGTATTATCAAATTTTGTTTTAATTAATTGTTAAAACAATTGAAAAATAGCAATTCATTTTAAAAAAAAAAAGATTTTTAAATTAATTGATTATTTAATAACCAAAGGAAATGGTCATATACGGTGTTGTCATTTGACAACTTTAATAATGAAATAAAGCTTAGGTTTAGGTTTAGGTTTAAGCTTAGGCTTACGCTTAGGTTTAGGCA